TTGCCACAACCGTTTAGGAAAAGCTTCGCTTGAAGCGAGCTCAACACGAGAACGGTGCTAGTCTGGCGGCATTGTCGTTGGCTGCAGCCGCCTCGATTCCACTCGACACGACAGCCAGGACAGAAAACACCTTGTGATATTCTGTAGTGTGCGAATCTCCATAAGTGGTTGTGAGGAAGACGCACGGGCTTGCGAGGAGAACGATACCCTTTGATCAACGCAACCCCGGACTGTGGCAAGGCAGGCGGCATTTGGTCGAGCACGGGCCATTGAACCTTCGCCCGACGGCGGGCGACTCCGATGTCAACTGCGCAACGAGCGGGAGCTAACGGCGATGCAGCTCAAACGACAAAGGTCGCTGGAACGGCGTCGGGCTAACAGCGTGATCATCTGATCCCGGTCGGCCCGATTTGTGAACGCCCCGGACCTTCAGACGGGATCAACTTGATAGCGCCCCAGCTGCCGACGAGAGCGACGGCTGCAACGGACATTCAATAGCGTTCACCGCGGCGAGACCCAGCTGGTCGAGTGAAAAACAGGAAGCATCATTTTTTCGGGTTGCGGTTAGCGGAGAGGGTCAAAGGGGATGCGGGCTACACATGCTGGATCACCACGCACCTGCCGTCGAGGCACCGCCCGCCGAAGGAGTTATTCGGGAGCAGAATAAGACGAGTGTTGCCCTTGAAAGTCTTCCGGACTGGTTGGACGCCCCGCGTCGAGCGGCCATGGGCGAGGAGGCATGATAGCAGGATGCCGAGCAGAACGGCACGACGAGGGAAGTGGGAATGCCGGCGCATGATCTGAATCGGCTTCGACGGAACGTGAATGGCGTGACATCAAGGAACGTCCGTCGCGAACACCGCTGCTGCTGCTCTCGTGGTTGTTATTTGATGAGCATCGCGCCGATTCTGACGAATGAGAGTCAGAGCAGCCGGCGGGTCAAAAATGCTGGAATGGGTGAGCGGATTGTGAAGTGATGGCGAGGCATTTCTAGCAAGGGAGGGGGGGGGGGGGGAACACGGAGGGGGGTGGGGGGGGAACACCATCCCAAAAATGTGAAACCGGTTGGGGTTGGACCCGCGCCACGTTGTGTTTACTAAGTCCCAGTCAATGAGGTTGCGACGAAGTGAGAGTGAAGTTGGGACAACGACATCGTAATAGCTTGTTTGCCTACGACGAAGCCATCGTGCTCAGGTGCTATGACAGCCCATCATCTGAGGGCGTGAAACTGAACCTTTGTGCATACGATGCAGATCCGAACAGTCGCGTTGGTTTCCGCAACATGCTCGCCACGTCCCAGCCACCATACCAAGTGCTTTGCCCAGCTGAAACTGTGTGGCGAGATCTGATTGGCCCAAAACAAATCACGAATCAGAGAAGGGGATACAGTTTGCTGCAACCAATTACAATGTAGTACACCAAGCAAATTCAACTCACATGTGATTGGTCGAGAACGATAGTAGCGGTGCGTCGAAACATGCGAGGTCATTCCGACATCTGCGATTCACGAACACTTGACATTTCGCCAACACCCTTCGTGAAAACGGGTTTCCACAGTTTTAGATATAGAGAGCTCAGCAATGTACCAGACTCAATTTTACATCGAAGAACTCTCTAGCAAGTACAAAACTTACAGCCAATAGCACAGCGACATGGCAACTTCACGCCAATCCCCAACTACCAGAACAAACCCTTATCCTCAAGCCACGCCAACGATACACATGGTGCCCGCCGGAGGCCTAGCTCAATACGTGGCCCAATCAGAAACCATCGCCCATTAGCGTTGTCAAACGGGCAACGGCCCACTCAACGTGGGCCGTGAACAGAGCCAGCAGTGCAGCGTCATCATGACAGCGGTGACAAACATGCGGCACAAGACGAAAGATGTGCGCCGCAACCGTTTTCGCCACAAACTTCCAGCCGCGCTCGGAATAGCGCTCCGGCGAAGGTCAGCGAGCCTTTCGTTGAGCTCGCAAAATTACACACGCCTCGCTGGGTTTGTTTGTGGCTTGAGCGTCGCCGCATGAAACCGAACGCTGACTTGGCAGCGAAATGGAGTCGCGATGTCCCGATGCGAGGGGTGGTTCTCAACATCCGACAGCCAACCCAGGAACAGACTCGAAAACAAATTCCCACAATCCACGCAGTAGTTATTGTTGCGACACGAACCTTCAATTCGTAATGTAAGAAATATTTAGAACACGCCCGTAATATTTGGAGCTGAAATGCGACTCCAACACCTCACCCCATCACACTGAGTATAAAAGGGAGCAAACCAAACCAGAAAAACTCACTCAACATCTCACCCGCCAACCACCACTCTGGTGCTACACCAGAGAAACTCACTCTCGCTTGAAAGCGCCGAAACTTAACACAGGGTAACTAAGTGAACAATGGCTCGCCAAAATATGCCACTCAAACCTACCCCGTAAAACATCAAAATGGTAACCTTCGTGCCCGTGCGAAAGGCCCACATGCCCGTGACGATGCCGTGCGAAACCCGTGCGCGTTTTTGTCTACCGGCACCCTGAAAAGTTGTGTTCCTCTGTCAGGCTCAAGGTGTAACTACGGGAAGTTCCAACTCACCCACTTCATTTCCATCTGACGTATCTCATCACTCGAGCTTGGCGTCGTTGCAGGTTTCCTTCTCCTATATCTGTCTTGTAGTTCACCTCGTAGCAGCTGTGCGATGTCGCACTGTCTAGGGGCTTCATGAGTCACGTGTTAGCTGCGTAGTATCAGCATGCTGACAACGTCCTTTTCCTTTTCCTGTGCGCTTGCTGCAGATTCGTTACGTCGGAAGTAATTAATTCCTGTCGAAGACCGTCAAGCGCCGGCAGAATGGACCTGTCACGCTTACGTGGATGCTTGTTGTTCTACCAATGCGTCATGCGAAAAATGTGAGCTATTTGCGCGGTTCAGTCATGTACCAACGATGAAATTCCATGGCGTTGGCACCGGTCGCTACTCCTAATTGCGTTTCGTGGTCTGCCTTGAGTTTGCAGGAAAAGCACCTGATATGATTTCTCGACGGACCATTGGCGACGCAGATCTGAAGCCTTGCGTAATCTAGCTAGCCCATAATGTTGACCTAAATTGTTATGGTTGATTCGATATACGTGACTTCTAATGTATTTGTAAGCATAATATTGGAATAGAGGTTATCTGACCATCAAACTAGTAGCAGTTACCTGTGGGACATACAGCACGCACCTGTTTTTTTTTACTGAAAATACATAGCTTCTGCATAGCTTCTGCATAGCAGCAATGAAGATTTAACGGAAATGCACCATGCAAATGCATAGTGTACGCTAAGGCTCGTGGACATTGGTTCCACTTAGGCTGCCAGTGCTTTGCGTATGCAAAGCGCGTAGCATGCACTTACTAAGGCAAGGTAGTATGCTGCCACTTAGAATATGCTTTGTATTAGCTTAGGCTTCGGAGACTATGTATATTGTTCACTGATGAACACGTTTGCACTATGCGGCTGGTGACTTTGTATGTGCATAGCGGTTTTCCGATTGTTCGATGCGTATGCATAGGTTGAGGGGGGCGGATTTTTGGGACGACGAGGGAATGCTCGAGCACTTTCCACGCGGAGGGGCTGGAACGAAGCGGGGCCGCCCGAAGAGGGATCGCGTGCGGAGCAGGAAGAGAATTCTAATTTGTTTTGGGCAGTCGGGAAAGGGCTGCTACAAGCTTCCCGCTATATTTTCTTCAAAGCTGGAAGCAGAATATCCCAAATCCTGGAATCTAAAAGCCACTGCACATGGGCCAGTTCACCACACCAGGTGGTCCAAGACGGACGGTGTAGACACTGTGTGAACTGGTGTAGTAATGGAAAATCAGACATTTGTACACCCACAACATGGTATTTCCACGATAGTTTCCACCGTGACTGGTCGTGAGCACTGCCCTTCTTGACGTTCCCGCACCTACTTGCGCTGCGTTGCCTATCGCGGCTCGGACAAAAAGAATGTGCGTCCAACGACCCCCCCATCGGTCCGCGTGGCGGCACCGCGTGACCATCCAAACCACAGCAAATTATCAGTCCGAGAACAAGTTTGTAAGGATTTCATGAACCCTTACCGAGTTTCTCCACAGCGAGTACCGCGAACAGCACGCGTCCGCAGCCTCGGCCCTCAAACCTCGCCGCAAACCACCCCTGCCGAACTACTCAGCCCCGAACGTGTTACCGAGGCGCCTCGAACCCTGTTTAACTGCGTCAACCTCGGGACTACCGGACCCTTGACTGGTCCAACTCTCGAGGCTCAACCTGGTCAACTAGCACTATATAAGCCATAGGCCTTTCATTGTTAGAGAAATTCTGTAGTCACGCTCCCCTATAGTATTCTGCGCTATACTCTGAGTTATACTTCATAACAGCTAGCATCAGAGCCACGATTCTGCCCATCTAGGTTTCCGATAGGGGAGAAATCCCTATCGGGGAAGGGGGCGGAAGGATGCTGGTGGCTTAGCGCTTCCGATGCCGCCGGATCCTATCCGATGGACGGCTAGGATTAGCCGTTCCTCCCCTTCCCCAGGCGTAGACATAATTATTTTCGTCAAGAGACGGCAACGTTTTCGTCATAGTTTTTAGGTATGTTCGCTAGTGTTTTGTAATTTTCAGAGGTTCTGACGGAGCTTTATGATTGGCTTCCGAAAATTGCGATGATTCTTCAGGAGATAAAAAGTGCACGGGAATCCTTGGGCGGCCGAGTGATGGTCGTTAGGAGCGCGTGAATGTGTGAAAATGGCGTGCGGCGATGTGCGTCTGTCACGCCATGTAGCTGCATGGTGAAGTGCAGTTGCGTCGGCGACGTCGGCGTTTCTGGCAGGCTAAATGCAGGCGATAGACGGGACTTCCCCGACTACTTCGGCAAGGGGCGACCGCGATTATTTCGGACCGCCACGATCGCACAGTCACACGAGTGGGTGAGCCAGACAGTAGCAACACGAGTCTAACTACCTCAGCGCTGTTATGCATGGGTAGTCTCACATGGAGGATGAATAGCGAGTGCAACTTCCTAGGATGACATCGCCAAACGGGTTCCAAGGAGTCGCATGAGTTCCTTCCAGAACTTGCTAGTGAACTTCGGATCTCTGTCAGAAATCAGAGTCCTCGGGATCCCATGGAGGTAAGCGACTCGGTGGAAGAACAATTGAGCTATTTCTTCGGTAGTGGCGTTCGCGTGAGTGGCGATAAAGTTGCCCATTTTGGAGGATTTGTCGATAACCACCATGATTGCATCGTGTCCTACTGCCATACGCTGGAGTCGTGTAATAAAGTCCATGCTCACTGTATGCCAAGGCTGCTCAGGAACGGGCACTGGTTGGAGGAGGCCACGCTTCTTCTGCTTACTGCTCTTCATCCGCTGGCACGTGTCGCAAGATGTAACGAACTCCTGGACGTGTGTCGCCATATTTGGCCAGTAGTAGTATTTGGCGATGCCTGTCAGGGTCTTGTTGCTGCCGAAGTGTCCCGCTAACGTAGTGTCGTGATATTCCTCTAGCAGTAGTTGCTTCAAGGGTGCGTAATTTGGTACCCACAACTACTTAGTACCCTTCTTACTGTATATGCAAGCCCTTGGTCCCATAGAAGGAGTCTGCATCTATCTACTGCTGGAATCTCTGAGTCAGTGTTGTAGCCGTGCTGGAAGGTTTCTTTGAGGAGATGGTTCATCCCTTACTCTTGGAGAGAGGCGAGGTTCGGCGGTCTGCTAAGTGCATCAGCCTTGTTAAGCAACCCAAGCTTGTACAAGATGCCGTATTTGAAGTGGGTTTCCATGAAATCCACCCACCGTACTTGACGTCGTGACAGGGTCGGTTGTGTTTTCAGGTACTTCAGGCTGCAATGATCGGTGTAGACCATCGTTGTCGCTCCTTCCAGGTAGCATTGCCAATTCTTGAAAGCAACAACAATGGCCAAGGCCTCTTTGTCGTGTATGGGGTAGTTCAGCTGCGCTCCATGCAATTTCTTGCTAAGGTATGCAATAGGTTGCTACCCTTTGCCATGATCTTGCATGACTACCGTTCCCACGGCTGCATCACTGGCGTCAGCTTCGAGAACGTAGTCCTTATCTTAATCAGGTAGGATTAGGACTGGTGCCGAAGTTAAGGCTTGTTTCAGCTTCTCCATAGCTTGCGTGTGCGTCTCCCCCCACCGAAAAGGCACTCCTTTTTTCAGTAACCGTTTAAGCGGTACTGCGATCTCGGCATAGTTGGGGACGAAGCGATTGTACTAGTTTGCAAAGCCGAGTTTGAAGCTCCTTCACGTTATCTGGCTGCTTCCACTGCTTTGCTGCTTCAATCTTCTTGGGGTCCACGTGTACTCCATGTGCGCTGACGACGTGTCCCAAGAAGGGAACTTGATTCAACGCAAACTCGCTTTTCGAGAGTTTGGCGTAGAGTTGTTCCTTCCAAAGGATCTCGAACACTTGCTGTAGGTGACGTATGTGTTCATCCATTGTCTTGGCGTAGATTAGGATATCGCCCAGGTACACCACGACACACTCATCAAGTAGCAAGCAGAGAATATGATTCATCTCGGCCTGGAACGTGGCGGGTGCGTTCGTGAGTCCGAACGACATCACTAAATACTCGTAGGAGCCATAGCGCGTTCGAAAGGCGGTTTAGTGCATAGAGTTATCCGCCATCCGAATTTGCCAATATCCTGACCGAAGGTCCAGTTTATAAAAAATGGTGGCCCCTTGAAGCTGGTTCAGCAGGTCGTCTATCCTTGGAATAGGATATTTATTCTTGACAGTTTGCTTGTTGAGCGCCCTGTAGTCGATGCGCATCCGCAACGATCCATCGGGTTTTGTTGTGAAGAGTATGCTGAGCTTTTTGCTATAACGGGAGATTATGCATAAGTTTTTGACGCAAATAGAGCTTCTCTAGCTCTATAGTTATCTAAGGAGAGGTAGCCTTCAAAATTGTGTCTTTCACTGAATAGCTTGAGAAAGCTTGGACACACAAATTCACTAGAATCAAGATTGCAAATTATGGTACACAAGGCAAATACTAGTGCTATCACATTGAACTTCATTGAATACGGAGAGAACATTCGCACAAGAACGTCTACATAACTACTCTAAGCTGCGCTTAGCCAAGTCAACAATGGCATGTGAAAATTACAGCACATGCTTAGTTGGTAAATTTTTACCCACCCGGAAGTAGTTTTTTTAACAGTTTCAGGTGTGAATCTTTCAGATGTTAAAACCGCAAGGGCCTGCCAGTTCAAGTCGAGGCCGAGAAGTAAGTACGGAATCCATTTTTTGCAATTAATCCCTCGTGCAATTTTTCGATGCCGACCCGGGCACAGGAAGCAGAACAAAACGCCCTTTTAGAGGAGATTGCACAATTACGTGGCGAACTCGCTGAATCACGCCAAACGGCAGCGGCGACATCGCAGTAGTCATCAACAAGCCAACTCGAGGCTCCTCGTTTTCATGCACCTGAACCGTTCGACCCCATCGACAGATCGTGTGACATTCGTCGATGGATCAGAGCCATCGAAATTTATTTCACAGTGATCGGATGGGCAGCGACGACTCATGACAACAAAATGATTCTGTTCGCAGCGACGCTCATGCACGACCCGGCTCTCTAATGGATCTTCAACAATAGTCATCATCTATAGTGCGAAGCCATATGAAAGCAGTTTCGTGACGGACTACTTACCCGTTTCGAGCCCATGATTTCGACCTACATCGCGCGGGAAAATATTCATCAGCACTGACAAATTTCGAGTGTGGCGCAATACACGCAGCAGATGGAGCGATTTTACGCGCAAATATACGACATTACGAACGACGAAAAAAAATCAATCGTACAGGTCGTGTTCCCGTAGTGCAAAGTCCAAGAATGTTGGAATGAGACACGTCGCAGAAACCCTTCGCGAAACTACACCTGACCGATTTGGGGAGCCACGGGAAAGACCCTATTTCACCTAAAAATAAGTTTTCTTTATCCTATAAAGAAGCTTTACTTCAGAATGAAATTAAGGGCTCTACGACTATCAAAAACTTCGGGGAAGGACTCCAATTGAAGCAGAAACCAGTGGAAATTATTCTTGTGTCGACGAACCTTGGGGGGAAATTAAAAGCTGTCAAAGCCACTCGACCTTTTGTCGGAGTCAATATCCTTTCTCGGAACCAGTCTTCAACTCCACCACTGACCCCACGCAGAGCGGCTACACGGCTGAAGCAGCTGAGGGGGAAGCTGGAGGTCCAAATGAAGCTGCAACGACCTCGAATCCCACCTTCGACGTCGAAACTAGTGGCGGAACAGACGCGTGCCAACCCTACACCAACCAATAGGCCAGGTGTGGATCGGCCCTTCACACACCACTTGCCTATCACACCTACTGTAGCTGCACCATTAGAATCTAGTAGATCCATTAGTACCCATAAGCCCTCCACCTCCATACCCTTTGACCCATTTAGTGGAAAGGTTCTAAACTATACGGGGGAGTCCGAACCTCCTCTACTCTTGATAGTAGTATGCAACGGCCGAAGACTTAAAGCCTTAGTGGATAGCGGAGCCTCCCGTACAGTCTGCTCCGACACCACCATCAAACGTCTCGGCTTCAGCAGCAAACTTTCCCACTTTACAGCGACAATGGTGGTTGGCACGGAGTCGCTAGTACGCGGCGAAACGCGGCTACAACTCTACATTGGACCAATACGTTGGGCACCCGTTGCACCAGTTACCCGATTACAAGGAGTGGACTTGATACTCGGGAGAGATTTCTTGAAGCAGTTCAACCCTGCAATCAACTGGTAGCAGTGTCGACCACGTATAAAAATATAAATTAGTCTATTGAGTTACCAACTTGGGACGACACGGGAGACGTACCAACTATTTCGTGGGTACGATTCTCCAAGGAGCTGAAGAAGCACTGTTAACGATGCTGGTTACTGAAGCAGACAACACCGATTTGGAGCCATCAAAGGGGTTCTCCAGGAATTCAAGGACGTGTGTTACCCGACGACCTAGCGGCGGGCGAACCACCAGCACGTGAACACCAGCACAAGATCGTGGAGGAACCTGGCTCTAAACCAATCTTTTGACCTCCGTACCACCTCAGTCCAACTGAGCTAGCGGATATGAAGAAGCAAATTGAATGCCTGCTCGAGAAGAAGTTGATCCGTCCGTCAGCATCACCTTACGGAGCACCTGTACTCTGTTGAGCATAGCCCTGATCTTGCGAAGGTTGCAGGAGTCTGCTGAAGCGGCATATCAACGAAGTCTGCAGACACGAGCCCTGAGAAAGCCCCGTCGACGGAGAGCAGATTTATCGACAAGGCGAGGCTCTGCGGGAAATGCTAGTGGCAGAAGAGCAGATTTGTTGAAGTGGCAGAAAAGCGGATCTGTCGATTGGCAGTACAGGAGTGCGTTTTCTGCATGTGGCTCTACAGAAACAGGTGGTGTTGTAGAAGCAATCTCGGCAGAGTCGAGAGTGTACAATACCCTATATCGAATGGGCACCAGGGGCCATTCATAGAAGGGTTGTCCTCTGCCGAATTAACGTGCAGAACACACCTCTGCAGGCGTTCCTTTTGGCAGAGTCGACTCTCAGAAATGCGTTCCAACAAGACCTCGGGCAGACTGGCGCAAGCACCTGTTCGAGCAGAATGACTTTAAGTTCGCTGCGGGCGGAGCGTGGGGCTACCGCAGGAGGAGGTGCTGCCGCTGCTGCAGGCGGTGCATGCTACGCTGCCGCTGTTGCGGGCGGCGCGTGCGTGCTCCGCCGGAGGAGGAGATGCTGCCGCTGCTGCGGGCAGCGCATGCGGCTGCCGAGGAGGACGTGGTGCTGCGGCTGCGGGCAGGGCATACGGCTGCCGCCGGAGGAGGACGTGCTGCTGCTGCTGCGGGCGGAGCATACGGCTGCCGCCGGAGGAGGAGGTGCTGCTGCTATGGGCGCGCCGGAGGAGTAGATGCTGCCATTGCTGCGGGCGGCGCGTGCGGCTGCCGCCGGAGGAGATGCTGCTGCGGGTGGCACGTACGGCTGCCGCCGGAGGAGGAGATGCTGCCTCTGTAGCAGGCAGCGCGTGCGGCTGCCACCAGAGGAGGAGGTGCTGTTGCTGTTGCGGGCGGCGCGTGCTGCTGCCGTCAGAGGAGGAGATGCTATCGCTGCTGCGGGCGACGCGTGGTGCGGTCGCTGGAGGAGGAGGAGGTGCTGCTGCTGGAGGAGGACGTGTTGCTGCTGTTGCGAGCCGGAGGGGGAGGTGTTGCTGCTATTGTGGGCGGCGCTTGCTGCTTCCGCCGGAGGAAGTGGTGGTGCTGCTGCGGGCGGCACGTGCTGCTGCCGCCAGAGGAGATGCTGCTGCAGGGGGAAGGGAGGTGTGAGGGGCGGCTGGAGGGCCCGGAGGAAGAGGAAAGGAGGTGAGAGGGTTGGCGGGAGGGCCCCAAGGAAGAGGAAGGGAGGTGAGAGGGGGGCGGGAGGAGCGGAGAGGGGGGGGGGTTAAGGAGCCGCTGAGGCGAGGGAAGGGGGGGGGGGGGGGAGGTCGGGCGGAGGGCGAGTTAAGGAGCCAGTGTTCAATCAAAATCAGGGCATCTTCCTTACAGATGAATAGCATGGAGCGTAGAAGTCTGATGATGCGGGCGGCATCGGGGTCGTTCTTGGCGAAGTTGTCCATGTGCTTTTGGTTCTCGATTTCCTCGTCGAGGTGAGCTTGCTTCTGCACGCAGGCCTCATGCTTGGTGATCTCCTCGTGCCACCGCATGCTGCCAATCTGCAAGTCCCTGCCGCCAGGCCCATCGCGACCATAGCGGGCTGTCGGCTTGCCATGCTGCATGCACACACTCCAACGTAAACAGGGTGAAGGTTGGGCGCGGATGAACGGTTGTGATTTGTGGTCTGTTCAGACTGTTACGTCAGCGTCCGTCAGGTAGCAGTGCCAGACTTTGAAAGTGTGAACGATGGCGAGTAACTCGTTGTCGTGGACAGGATAATTTCGCTCGGCCGGGTTCAGCTTTCGTGAATGTTGCCGGGGCTCGCAGGATGATCTCTTGCTCGATCTCTGGCTTGAGACCACCCACGTAGGGATCGATCTTCTCGTCTTCGCTAAGCCCTCCGATTTGATCGCATAACGCCAGGAACAAAGCCGTGCATTCTTGGACAGAGCCCAACTGTCTCCACATCCGAAGCCTTGTGCGAGCATTTTCACGCATGGATATGTGCTCGAAGCGGCTCTTCAATGCTTCGCCCCACGCTTTCCACGTGCTGATCGTGGCCGACCCAAAGATCGGTTTTGCTGGAGCCGTTGATGAACCGTGCTCCCCATCTACTGCCCATTGATTCCCTGTCGAGGCTCCTCCCTTGTCTAGATGCATGTGCCACCAGTTGAGTGCCGGTCCCCTCAGCAGCGACACAGCCAAGTTAACACGTGACGCGTTATCATTAATACTTGCTGCAGTAGTTGTTCTATCGGTTAGGTTGAACGGCAGAGGCATCGGAGGTTTGATTTTAAAGGCCGCCTGCGGCTCACTGTGGACCTCTTCAACTGCTTCCGGTGTCGCTGACGCCCTCGCTTCGCTCGCAGCATCTTCATCTCGGGTAACAGGCCGCCCCTGGCGCGTTTCACCCCGTGTC